AGAGAGAGAGAGAGAGAGAGAGAGAGAGAGAGAGAGAGAGAGAGAGAGAGAGAGAGAGAGAGATTGATTGATTGATTTGGAAGTGGTCCAATGCCTGCCTGCCTGACCTGGGTGTCAGGGCCCTTAGGGTGGATAGATTGGGAGACAAGGCTAGAAAGGTGGGCACCGGGCTGGGAGGGGCCCTGAGTAACGTGTGGCACATAGACAAGAAACAGATCAGTGGCTTTGAAATTGCTTCTCAGCACCCTGGGAGTTAGTGGGGGAGCCTTGACACTGGGAGCATAAAGTAAGTTTCTGGCCCAGAGGATAAGATTCCAGAACTTTCTTCCAGGTCTTATCCAGAGCCTTCTCACTTGTGTCTGTTCTCTATGAGGTTGCACATGAACTTTTGTCTAATAAAAGGCTTGGGGACTGTAAAACCACCTGCAAACACAGCCATATAGTCACCGAAAGCCCAAAGCAGGCAGTGATGTGGATTGGAAGGTAAGATGCTTAAGGAAAGGTTGCTGTTTCCCCTGAGCAAGGGAGAAGCTCTGTCCCAATCTTTAGGGGGGCGGGACCAGGGGGAGGAGCTGCAGAAAGGAAAAGGACAGACACAGACGCCGGGTAGAAAGTCAGGGGATTGCAATACCACCATCTGCCAGGAGGGGTCAGCACAGTTCTAGCCAATGTCAACCCCGCTGAGAGTTGGGATGGAGCGACTCCATCTAGCAGTTTGGAATTCTCTGTAAAGAACTGCCTAAGCAGGACATGGCTACCATCTCCATCCTTCACTGGAAATGCAGACATGAGAGGGAGCTGACAGTCACCTACGTCTGATGGGTGCTAGCTTGGGGAGGCGGCAGAGGGACTTGTCTCACAGTTGGACTACTCATCTCTGATGCTAACACTGTGTGCCCTGAGTAGCTCCCTACCTTCTGCGTCTACCAACTGATTTTTTTCTCACTTGTACAGTGAGAGGCTAATGTGTGGACTTAGAGAAAAGAGGCTCCCAGAAACTACAGACCATCACAGTTCCCTGTGGACCCCTCCTCCATCTAACGCTTAGAAATAAAACCTGGGGTCCTCCAGCTCCTACCCAGCACAGGAGGGAGCTCAGCTTCTGCTGAGCCAGGGATGTCATCTCCAAACCGCAGCATGGCTATGTGCCTAGCTTATCAAGGTTTTAGAGTCAACTCTGCAAACTCCAAGGCTGCTATCCCTAGATTATCACAAAATTATACGTGACCCTGTGTCTTCTGGGTCCTTGGAGACAGCCTGCAGGGGGAGACACACCCCTCCACCTGGTATGCCTCCATTCAAGGGGTCCCAGTTTCATCAGTTCCCTGGCTCCTTGCCTTCTCTGCTTCCCCTTGAGAAATGAAGCTTGCTGAAGCTGGCCTGTCACAGTCTAGTTACCTGCCTCTACCATCCCCGTGCCTCCACCCCCAACCTTGCTTATGGCAATCTCCTGGCAAATGGGAGCCGCTGAGCAGCCGCTGAGCAGGGGGTAGGGAGGGTTAGAAGAGGGTGTGTGACGATCTGGGGAGCCATCCATTGGTGCACACACCCTGATAGTGATGGACTTGTCTGAGGATTTCCTGAACAGAATCCTGAAAGCTGCATGGCTCCCATCTGTGGCTTTGGCAGATGTGGGGTTTGACTCACCTTCTCTGCTTGGGGGCCAGGTGGGCCAGGAGCTCCAGCTTTGCCTGGGAATCCTGGGGGACCCTGTATCAACGAAGAAGTGGGCAGGGATGAAAGGAGGGCTCCTACCCCCTTCCTTCTGGGTGGGTTCCATCTATCTGCCTGACCCTCTGTGGTTATCCATGAGGGCCTGTTCTTCAGGTCTGGCTCCTGAAATCTGTCATGGCCACCTGGACTGTTTCTCCCACCTCCTGCCTCCTCATCCCAGGTTCCAGGTTCATCTTCATCCTGCAGGCCCTGCTCCTTCCAATGGGACCACATTACAGGGAACTTCTGTGTCTTTACTCACCGGCGGGCCTGGGAAGCCCGGTTGGCCTTGAAATCCCTAGGGGAAGAAGTGAGGGGATCAGTCCTCCGCCTGGACACTCAGGTGGAAAGAGGAACAGGTGGGGTAGCCTCAAGTCCACGAGCTTTGTCCTCCCGTATGTCTGAGATGGTCAGTAGGTGAGGATCTGGGTAGGAGGTGGGGAAGCAGCCCCCTTAACCTCCCAGACAATGCTCACCTGATCACCCTTCTCTCCAGAGCTCCCCTGGGGTCCTCGCTCTCCTCGGGGACCCTGTCACCATAGAGGAGAATGCAGTTGGAACCCAATCTTCCTGTCCTCAGCCCACAGGGAGGGGGCAGGACACTCCCCCTCCTCCTCTCCATGGCCTGCCCACTCACCGCTGGACCTTGGGGACCTGGAAGGCCTTCAGATCCTGGTGGGCCCTGGGGACCCAAAGGAACAGAATCAGTCACTCAGAAACATGAGGAAGGAGGCCCAGGGGTGGCCAGAGCCTGAGGTGGGAGTGTCCTCTCCACCTGGCCCTTCAGTTCCCTGGAACCAGCCTGCTAACTAATCCTGCTACCTCCTGGCCTACGCCAATCTGGTCAACAAATATGAGCTAATCTCTCTTCTGTAGGCCCAGCCCCGACAATGCCACTCTCTGGCTCGAAAGCCTACGGTGGCTGTACTCTGTCTAACACATAAGGCGGATGCTCTCCACTCAGGCTGGACTTACAGGCATCCTATAGTCTGTCACCAACCACCCTTTCCTGCTTCACACCCCTCTCCCAGCTCCCTCCACTGTGCTTTGCTCTGTGCAGACTGCTGCCATTCCCTGAGCATGCTCTGTTGGGTCACTGTGCACTGCTATTCCCTGACTGGAATACCCACCATTCGTCACTCCTTCCGTGGCTCCTGAACCCTTAGGGAACCAATGCTGTTCCTGCCAGGACCCACCCATGACTTCCGGCTCCGTATGGGCACAGCACAGCTCTATCCTCCCCTATTCCTCCTTGGGGACCCCCTCTCCCTCTTCTACAGCATTCTCATGTTACCCCAGCCCGTTCCCCACCCCTACTCTGCTCAGGGCTCTCACCTCTCATTATTCCCATCTGTCTATCTACCTATCTATCTATCTATCTATCTATCTATCTATCTATCTATCTATCTACCTATCTATCTACCTATCTATCATCTATCTATCATCTATCTATCTATCTATCATCTATCTATCTATCTATCATCTATCCATCTATCTATCTATCTATCATCTATCTATCTATCTATCTATCTATCCATCCATCCATCCATCCATTTTCTTTCTGCTTCTTGCTGCAGGGCTCACAGGGCCTCAGAACGACTGGCAGCACCCAGCCTGCCTAGGAGACCATCCTGTGGCAGAGTAGAAGAGTGATAGGGTTGGCAGAGTCCCATGAGGCCTTGCTGGCATTTGTGAGAAGGAGAGATAAGGCTCCAGTTCTAGCTTAGCAGGTCCCAGATATGAGGGCTGAGGTTCCTCAGCAGAGAGACATGGGCTCCAGCCCAGCCTCCTCCACCACTAACTCCCACGCTGGCTGCAGGACTCTGGGTGAGTCATGTCACTCAGGAGCCTGTGACCTCATGTGCTAGCTAGCAATCCTCAGCTCCTTCCTTCAGTGTAGGACCCCCATGAAGGTGGCCTCAATAGAAAAAGAAAAAAAAAAACTCCTGGCCCTGATTTAGTAGGAGAGGGGAATTCTGACAGCTGACTGGGCCCTTCCTCTCCTCAGGCACCTTCTCTGCAAGAAGCCTGCTGGGATCTCCTCACAGCCTCTGACTTTGCCTCTGCCTCCGCCTCCGCCTCCGCAGCCACCAGCCCGTGCAGAGCCGCAGCTGGAGTGACTCGGGGCAGGGGCAGCAGGGGTCGCAGGTTCCTCCTCACAGGAAGATCTCCAGCTCAGCTGATGAAGGGGGTGGGGGTGGAGGGCACCCTGTTTGAAGCTCACCTCACATCCATACCCATGCTGTAGCTTACCGACTCTCCCTTCTCTCCTGCAGGGCCAACGTATCCTCGTTCTCCCTTGATACCCTGATGAGCAACAGCAGAATTTAGCTCTGTGGCCTGCCTATGGTGGTGCTAATGCAAGACGTGGGAGGGGAGGGGCTGCAGCTGGCACCCAGACTGGCACCTGAAGGCCGAGGGTACCAAAGTAGGGGACTAGAGAGAATAGACGGTGGCCAGTAGGGCCTACCACTCGCCACTGTGGCCCACACTGGAAAGTGGGACACACCCATTCTGAGGGCACCTTTGCGAGCGGTAGCACCTCTCAGCGCTCTCTCTCTCTCTCTCTCTCTCTCTCTCTCTCTCTCTCTCTCTCTCTCTCTCTCT